AAATGGTACAAACATAATTTGTGGGAGCTTCTCGCGGAGCTCCGACAGTTTATGCTTGTGCTGTTTGTGGTTCTTCTGCAGGTGTCTGGCGGCAAGAGCGGCGTGGTAGAGTACCTCATCACGCAGGGGGTGAGCGGCGTGATCTTCGCCACCATCTCCGGGCAGCCGCTCGTGATCCTGAGGCCGACCGGCCCGATCACGGTTTTCATTTCGCAGTTGTACAAGATCTCAGAGTCTGTGGGCGTCGAGTATTTGACGGCCCAGGCGTGGGTCGGGATCTTCGTTGGCATCTACATGATCATCATCGCCGTGACGGACAGCTGTGCGCTCATCCGGCACTGCTCTCGCTTCACGCAGGACCTCTTCGGCTGCTTCGTGTCCGTCATCTTCATCACCCTCGGGCTCACCAACATATGGGAGAAGTTCAACGATAAGCAGCACGAGTACGACGCGCCCGTTCAGCTCCTCGTGACGGCGGGCACGCTGTACTGCGCCCTCACCCTGGCGGGGTTCAACAAGGCCCGCTTCTTCAACGGCAGGGTGCGGGACTTCGTTGCGGACTTCGGGGTCGCGCTCGCGGTGATCCTGGCGACGGTGGCCTCCAATTTCCTGACGGTGGAGCTCGAGCCGCTGCCCGTTCCTCCGAAGTTCGCGCCCACGGACACCGCAAGGTCCTGGATGGTGGACCTCGGAGACCCCGCCTGCGTCGGCATTGGGGCGCTGGCCGCCATCCCTCTCGTCTTTCTCTTCTTCATCGACCAGAACGTCACGATGCTGCTGACGCAGCAGGACAGCCACAACCTGAAGAAGGGGGCCGCGTTCCACTGGAACTTCTTCATCCTGGGAGTCTTCAACATCGTCTTCCCCATGTTCGGCTGCCCCTACGTCACAGGCTCAGGGCTCGTTTCGATTCCTCCGATTCGATTCGATTCGATTTCGATGGTTTCCGATTCCGATTCGATTCGATCTGGGATTCCGATTCGAGTTCCGATTTCTTATTGGAGGCACAGTAGCCTGCCGATTTCTGCCGATCCGACTTTTCCCGACTCGGCTGCCGATTTCCGACGATCCGATTCATGTCGATCGCCGATCCGACTTGTCGATCCGATCCTGGGCTCTCCTGCAGGCTCGCTGCCGCACTCGCCCCAGTTCGTCAACGCACTGGCGCGCAAGGAGGTGGTGCGCGAGGGGGGCGTGGAGAGCAGCAAGATCGTGGAGGTGTACGAGAACCGCCTTGCGCCGTTCCTCGTCAACGCGCTGATCATCGTCTGCCTGCCGATCATCGGGGAGCTGAGGTACATCCCCACCTCGGTCATCTGCGACGCGCTCTTCCTGTACATGGGCCTCTCGGGGCTGCCAGGCAACCAGCTGTTCGAGCGCGTGAAGCTGGCCTTCACCGAGGAGGCCCTCTACCCGCCCCTGCACTTCTCAAAGGACTGAAGGAGAAAGCAGCTGCACAGTCGTAAACTCTCGGAGCTCTCCGCTCGCCAGGGAGGGGTGTCCAGCGCCGATCCAAGGAATCCGCGCGGAGCTCCGAGAGGTCTGCTTCTGCCGCTTTCTCTTCTCCGAGAGGAAGAGGTGCCCCGTATGCAGATGCACGTGTTCACGCTGGCGCAGGCGTGCATGGTCGTGGTGTTGTTTGTCGTCTCCCGCTCGCCAATCGCGCTGGCATTCCCGGTTTTCCTGGTGCTGAGCATACCGCTGCGGATGAACCTGCACACGCTCACGTTCGGTTTCGTCACAGCAGACATGGTCGCCATCCTCGACAACACGAAGAAGAAGGATGCTGCCGTCCGGGCGGAATCCAAGGAGGCGGTAGCCGAGGGTACCCAGATGGACGTCGCCAAGGAGGTCAACGGCAGTCCAGGCGCTTGATGGGTGATGCCTCCCTGCAGAGGGGCGAGGAGGAGGCCGAAATAGTCTGTCCCAATGTCTGACGGGCTGCGCCCTCCACCGCTGGCCAACCGAGGCAGAGCGACCTCGGCAAGGGCTCCCTCGAGGGCGCGAAGTTATTCGCGCTTCGCGGTCCTCGTTCCTTCTCCCCCTCCTCCTCGTCCTCCTATTCTCCCTTTGGGAGGGCGGCGCGAGAGCGCGAAGTTATTCGCGCTTCGCGCAGCGCGAAGCGCGAAGTTGGGAGCCCTAGCCAACCGAGGCAGAGCGACCTCGGGGATGATCTTTCGGCCGCCGTGGGGCTCTCCTGGGCCATTTGAGGCGTTCCAAAGAGCAGGCCTTGCCTTTATGTCGGGCGTGTCCCCCGTATAGGGGGATTTTCGACGAACAATTAAAAAAATACCCCAGAAATGCCGAAAGAAGGTCAACAAATACTAAACAAAAATAGTCCCCAGACTATTTCTGGACCATCTTTTCATCACTTTTGGGGTATTTCTTCTATTTGTCGTCGAAAGTCCCCCCGTAGGGGGACACGCCCGACTTAACCTTGCCCTCGCGGATCGGAGGAGCTGCCCCCTCGTCCTCGGCGGAGGGCGGCGGAGGGCCAGCGGAAGCAGCTGGCGGCCACGTGCAACGCGAGGCCGCGGCCGCCTCCGCCGGCGGAAGGCCGGCGGAAGGCGGCGGAAGCAAAAGACGCGCTCCCAAGGGATGGAGGAGGAGGAGGAGGAGGAGGAGGAGGAGGAGGAGGAGGAGGAGGACGACGACGACGACGACGACGACGAGGAAGGAGGGGGAGGAGGAGGAGGAGGAGGAGGAGGAGGAGGAGGAGGAGGAGGAGGAGGAGGACGACGAGGAAGAGGGGGAGGAGGAGGGGGAGGAGGAGGAGGAGGATGGGGAAGCTGCAGTGCTTTCATTCCGGGCGCCGTCGTGCCCCAGAGCGGAAGGCGGCGGAAGCAAAGGACGCGCTCCCAACCCTGACCTTCCAAGAGGGCTAAAAATAGCACCCGACTTAAAAACCTATCCCAAAAAGCTATTCTACGTCTCGGTTTTAGGCTGTTTCGCTCAGCTTTTTAGGTATTTTGAGGCCTCCAGTGCTAAAAGATAGCTCTCTGGAAGGTCAGGGAAGAAATGGAGACGTTTTTGGGTTCAGGATTTCTGGAACCCGCCATTTGGGAACCTCCTGGTGGCATGCCAATGACCTCTCCGCCTCCGCCGCCGCCTACGGCAGCATTGGGGCCATCTTCAAGATGGCCCCAATGCTGCCGTAGGCGTCGTCGTCGCCGTCATCGTCGTCGTCGTCGTCGTCGTCGTCGTCGTCGTCGTCGTCGTCGTCGTCGTCGTCGTCGTCGTCGTCGTCGCTCGTCGCTCGTCGCTCGTCGCTCGCCGCTCGTCGCTCGTCGCTCGTCGTGTCGCGCGCGCGGGCGCGGCTGCCGTGCCGGAGCTACACCGCGGGGGGGGGGGGTTACGTCATACCCCCCCTCGCCCCCCGCCCCCCCATTGACGCCCGTCATCGCCGAACATATAAAGAAGCGCGCTCTTGGGGCTGGGCCGTGGGGCCATCGTAGGGGCGCAGGGGCGTCCCCAAACGTCACCACCCACCAAACCACCCCAACCCAACCCGAAGGCCTCAGTTTGCCCTCCATTTCCAGCGGGGGGGGGGGGGTCGGGGAACATTGAAGAAGCACATGGTCCCCGTACCCCCCCCAACCCGAAATTCGGGTCAAATTCGAGTCTTCGGGTTGGGTTGGGGTGGTCTGGTAGGTAGTCAAAACGTCCGACGTCGTGCTTTTCTTGCCACGGCGAGGCTTCCCCGAGGACCAGACCCCTCCCCGGGGGGCCTCTCCGAGGGCCCCCGGGGGGCCCGCCGAGGGCCACCAGAGGCCGAGTGCGTGCTCTTGCCTTCGACGAGCGCGTGTTCCGCTGCTCGCAGAGGAGCTGCTCGCGAGTGGCCTGGATGTCCCGCGGGGGATCTACGATAAATTACATCAAAGCAGGCATGTGTTTCTCGGACTCTGCGAGTATAGGCACTCTGCGAGTGGTGGAGCGCGCTCGGCGATTCCCATGGAACGGAGGCTCCCGAGGCAGTCAGAGGGGAGCCGGTTCTTCTCGGCGTGAGAGGCCGAGCCCTCCGGGAGGAGCCAGTCCTGCCCCGGCGAGGGCACGTTCGGTGGGGGCACCTCTGCTTCCGAGACGGCCCAAGGCGGCCATGCGATGGCTTCCGAGATGGCCCAGCAAGGTCCCAGGAGGCTGCCACGGTGGCCCAAGGCGGGCCCAGAAGGCGGTTCCAAGAGGCGGCACCCATCACCCCTGAGTCGCAGGCCTAGAGGTTGACGCCAACACCGATGTCGGCGGTGTGCCTCTACCGAGGGAAGAAGATCCCGATCTCGGTGATGGTGGTAATATTCTGGCTTCCAAGGTGACCGAAATATTGCCACCAACACCGAAATCTAGGATAACCTTCCCCATGTGGAGGCAACCCCCTGTGTTGGTGTTGGTGCCAATTTCTAGGCGTCCAACTGAGGGTCGGCGGATTTCTTCTACAGCACCTGTTCGGCACGATCGAGAGGGTTACGGAAAGGATTGGCACGAAGGCCGACAGCAGCAGTTCTTGTCCGTCCTGGCCAGGACTCGCGGTGGGTACCGTCGCCGGCGTGGCCCATTTGGAACGGACGTCGTCTGCCCAACAGCGGACGCTGCTGGTTTTGGACAACATTCTCTGTTGGGCATCGTGCGCATTTTTCCAGTACCCACTTCCCCAGACCCCCGACGCCATGACTTCTTCTTCACAGCGTAGAACGCTGGAGGTTTCGACCATTCCCTGGAACCGGATTTTCATTCCCAGCCGTTTCTGAACCGTTCAGGGGCCCAGCGAGGGCTCCCAGAAGCCGAAATTAACAGAACGCCTTCTGTCGAGATGTTTTTCTCCTGGCGCAAGGGGGTCTGGGTTCGGCGTCGCACCGACAGACTAATACTACAGGTGTGCGTGGCCCCGCATGGGGGCGACGCGCGCGCCGAGAACTTTTAGAGTCTGTCTCCATGGCGGGTGCTCCGTGGCCATGCCGCTCGGGAAGGACGCACGCCTCCGAGGAGGACACGTGCAGTCGGACCGAGGTATGAGATCGAGGTCGGCTCGGGGAGGGTACCCCAGATTTCGTAAGAAAGGGAGGGGGGTCTCATTTCGGGGGGGGGCTCTCTTCCAGGCCATCTTGGAGGGCCTGGGGGGGTCTGGGGACGATGTTTTGGAGGGTTCTCCCACGGGGGGGGGTCCGAAATGGCTTGTCTTGGAGGGTCCAGACCCCCTCCCTTTTATTACGAAATCTGGAGTACCCTAATGTTCTTCGCGTTCGCTGGATGTCCTGGTGCGTCCTGGGGAGGGGCTGATGTTCGTGAGGGATGCGCCTCCAGCCTGGGTCCGACTGTACCAGCACAGGGCTGGACCTAAACGGTGTTTGGGCGATCTCGTGGGCCGTTTTCGTTCCGACCTCGTCTTGCGGCAGGGGTGGGTTGAAGACAGAAAACGAGGGAGAACGACAACAAAACGAACACGAAGACACCGTTCAGGTTCAGCCCTGCTCTCAGGCCGGACGAAAGGGGGGGATTTGGGAAAGGGGGGGTTACGAAAATTACTCCATGCAGCTGGTTTCGGCCTCACCGATGGGCCCATTGTTCGATGCATAGCCGCCTCCAAAAAACTGGGAGGCGCCGGGAAAATCAGCTTCGTGAGCTGATTCTCAAACCCCCCTTCTGCTATCCCCCCCTTTCGCCCGACCCGATGCCCGTGAGGCATGCGCCTCCGGCCTGGGCCCGATAGGGGGCCACATGCGAGCCCTACCCCCTACCCCCCACGGATTTCGGAGGGGGTAGGTCTCGCATGTGGCCTCCGGCCAAGGTCCGACTGCACCCGCGCGTCCTTCCGCGCCCCACGGGTCTCTCCGCCCACCAAACCACCCCACACCCAACCCGAAGGGTCTGATTTACCCTCGATTTCTAGTGGGGGGGGGGTCCCGGAACATCGAAAAAACACATATCCCAGACCCCCGACGTAATGATTTGTTCATCACGTCGACCCCAGAGTTCTCGACCCCTTCCCCAGGACCGGTTTGTCATCCTGAGTCGTTTTTTGACGCTCCCGAAGCCCGGTGAGGGCCCCCAGGGGCCGAAAATGGCGAAAAACCTCCCGTCGTGATTTTTTCATTACTCGAGGGGGTCTGGGATGGAGCCCATACCCCCCCCAACCCGAAATTCGGGTCTTCGGGTTGGGTTGGGGTGGTCTGGTAGGTATAGTCAGGGCCGGGCGCGCCGGCTCGCTGCCGCACGGGCCTCGGGCCGCGCCCTCTCCGTGCCTTTCGCGCGCGCGCCCCGCCCGCGGATGCCCCCGCCGGGGCGGCGCGGCCGCCCCCTTTTGCGCGCGCGCGCGCTCCGGGGCGCCGAGGGCCCCCTTCTCGCTCCGCGCGCATGTGGGAGCGGGGCGCGCTCCTGGCCTCCTCCTCCGCCTCCTCCTCCTCCTCCTCCTCCTCCGCCTCCTCCTCCTCTCTCCCCCTCCTGCTCCTCTTCCTCTCCTCCTCTCTCCCCCTCCTGCTCCTCTTCCTCCTCCTCCTCCTCCTCCTCCTCCTGGCCGGGCCCAACTCCCAGGCCCAGGGTCGGAGGAGGGCGGAGGGCTCTCTCTCTCTCTCTCTCTCGGAGGCGTCCCTGGGGGGCTCGGGGTTCTCGCGCGTTGTCGTCGGCTCCTCCTCCTCCTCCTCCTCTCCTCTCCTCCTCCTCCTCTCCTCCTCCTCCTCCCTCCTCCTCCTCGCCTCCTCCTCTTCCTCCTCCTCCTCCTCCTCCTCCTCCTCCTCCTCCCTCCCTGTGATTGACATCCCCGCACCTCGGAACCGATTTTGAGGATTCCCCCTGTTTTTGAAGGCGAATCCTCACGATGAACATCGCGTTGTGCGTGTTAATCTAAGGGAGATGGATCAGCTCGAGACTGACTGCGGCATTCAGAAGGGCGGCGGGTCCATCGACGGAAGGCCAGCGGGAGCGAACGCGAGACGTCATCATTTTTGGATTCAGGGTTTCCAGCGTCGGCCACACACGCGAAGACCCCCTGGTGGATGGCCCCCGGGCCTCAGGGGAGGGTGGCGGCGTTCACCGCTAAGAGCCAACGACCCTCCCTGAAGGCGCAGGAAAATCCGACCGGCGGGCGTTGGTGTATGCATTTTGGCGGCGTAGGCTTACAAGTTCTCCATTCATGCAGCCGCAAATTCGAGCAGCGTGTGCGCCGGGTCACGTGCATGCTGGACCTGAGTGTGAGCGTTCAGCGTAATTACAGGCTTTGGCCCCGCAGAGCTGGGGTGTAGAGTGTCTTCTGTCAGACTCTGCAGTGCTTATGTGCCTTTGCGATGGACGGCTACTGGATCCGTTGTCGGTGGCCGTCAGATGTTTGCCGGTGAAGGTCCAGGTAATGTCAGCCGCTGTTGCGACCTTGCGCCACCTGGCCCAAACAGCATCGATCTGTCCGTCTCGCTTCGCTAGTTACATGTCTGTCTGTCTCTCTCGCTCTCTCTCTCTTCTGTCACATGCATCTGCCGCATGTCGTTTCTGATTGGCAGCGGCAGAGCAGAACAGAGAAGCAGCAAGTGAGCGTGTCGGGCGACTGACAAGTTGCAGTCGCGGCTACGCGCGCCTCGAGTCTTGGCCGATGGCTGCAGCATCAGGAGCAAGCACGCCCTGGGGCAATCCTCGTGGCCGATGCCCCTTCTTCCTCCTCCTCCTCCTCTTCCTCCTCCTCTTCCTTCTCCTCCTCCTCCTGCAACGCTTAGGATGACTCTTTCAACAGCTACCAGGATTGACGGCAGTGTCCTTTCACGTAGGGTCTCTCGCCTTTGCGCCGCGCACATTCGTCCTGAAAATTCGTAACATTTACAGGGATGCAGAGATAGACCTCTTTAACACGGGGCTCTCACCTTAGCGTCGCGCGCATTCGTCTTAAACGTTTGCAGAAGTGAGAAGGATGAAGGGCGCTTCGTTTTCAAACATGGGCTCTCGCCTTAGTGCCGCGCGCATTCGTCTTAAACGCATACAACGTGTACAGGGGTACAAGGATGGATTCTGGTTCGTTTTCAACATGGGGCTCTCTCGCTTCAGATTTTCTCAAACGTGAAGGCCATGCTACTGAACGTGAGGCAGCAGCTGCACAGATGGAGGGCGGCTCCTCTTCAAAAAGTGTCTCTCTCTTGAGTGTCTTGGCCAGGTGTGCTACTGCACAACAGTTCCACGGATGGTGTTGGGGCGGTTCCTCTTCAACACGGGGCTTTTGCTGGACATGTCCTTGAGCATAGCAGTATTACCCTCTCCGGACTGCTGATGTGCGCAACGCAGTTCAGCAACCAACTCAGCTCGGGGGCGGAAAAGAGGGGGGTGATGACCAGGGGGGGGTGGATATCATGGCGTGGGCCATGATATTTCCCCAGATGTCATGGCGCCTCTTCTTATTTCATTACGTCCCTGGCCCCCCCGCTGGGCCGCGCACATGCCGCCGGTCATGATTTGCACCCCCCCCTCTTGGACACCCCCGTCTTGGCCGCTCCCGATCCGCTCTCGCCAGAGTGGCAGGCCCAGAAGGCGGGTGCTTGTGCTTGAACGAGGGCGCCTCCTGCAGGAGCAGGCCGGGATGTCTTGTAGGGCTCGGCGAGGGGGGGGGGGCCCTCTGTTGGCCCGCCTCTGTCCCCTCCCCCCCCAGTCCACCACGGCCCTCTCGCACCGCGGTGACAGCGCGGGAGTTCGATCCCTCCTGGAGCGTCCCCTTCGGCGGCGCGCCCAGGGGGGAAAGGAGAGGAGGAGGAGGAGGAGGAGGAGGAGGAGGAGGAGGAGGAGGAGGAGGAGAGGAGGAGGAGGAGGAGGAGGAGGAGGAGGAGGAGGAGGAGGAGGAGGAGGAGGAGGAGGAGGAGGAGGAGGAGGAGGAGGAGGAGGAGGAGAGGAGGAGGAGGAGGAGGAGGAGGAGGAGGAGGAGGAGGAGGAGGAGGAGGAGGAGGAGGAGGAGGAGGAGGAGGAGGAGGAGGGCCGGCTTTTTATTAGGAAGAAGGGGGGGGGGCTTTTAGGCGCCCTTTTGCTTCCTTAGTGGCCTTCGGAGAGGCTTCGGGAGGCCCTCCAGAAGGCAGGGGGAGGAGAGGGAGCAGGATGGGGGAGGCGGAGGGGGGAAGGCGGAGGAGGAGGAGGAGGAGGAGGAGGAGGAGCAGGAGGAGGAATAAGAGGAGGAGGAGGAGGAGGAGCAGAAGGAGGAATAAGAGGAGGAGGAGGAGGAGCAGAAGGAGGAGGAAGAAGAGGAGGAGGAGGAGGGAGGAGGAAGAGGGATGAGGGAGGGAGGCAGGGAGGAGGAGGGAGAGGATGAGGGGGACCCGCGCATACTAAATACACAGCAGCAGCGCTACACTTACAATCATCCTCCCGTCCCAAGTCCCCTCGTCAGATCCCCCTGCAGTTTGCTTGTTGTTGCTGCAAGGAGCGCCCCCCGTGGGCCTGCCATTTCGGCGAGTGCCGCACTCTGAACAAGCACCGCCTTGCATCCTTTTTCCGCATCATCAGGGACGTGGCGCGCTGCGACCGTGGCATGCAGCCCAACAGTGTGTCCAGCGAGATTCCGACTTCGAGGAAGGACCGCCCTTCTCATCCGTGTGACCGTGGCACGAGATTCCGCACACGGTCCTGCACTTCGAGGGCCCCTCAAGCGACGTCGCCACCCGTGCAGTGCTACACGTGTGGGCACTGCGGACAGCTTAAGTCGGCGAAGTCTCCAGCGAGGGCCCCATTTTGTAAGGGGCAGCCCCCCATCCTTCCCCAAAGGCCGCATCAAGAAAGCACTAAGGCGCGCGGCGCTGAGGCGAGAGCCCAATCGGAAACTGACCAGCATTTATGCCTTGACGCTGTTGCAGCAGCGGCGACGAGTCTGCCCGGCGCTACGGCGAGAGCCCCATTATTCGGAGGGCACCAACTATACACCAACACCGATCCTGGCCCAGGATCACCCGGGGCCCAGGATCGGTGTATATGCCTTCTTGCCCAAGGCAGGAGGGCGTATACACCGATCCTGGGCCCAGGGTGATCCTGGCCAGGATCGGTGTTGGTGTATAGTTGGTGCCTTCCTAATGATCAAAGCCGAACCGCCCTTCATCAGTGTAGCTGCAGCAGGCTGTTCCAACGTCGGCGGCGCGGGGCTGTGGCGCGCGCGCCGCGTTTTGGCACCCAGCCCCCCTCTCCCACTCTTGGACTGGCTGCGCACTTTCGAGGCGAACGCGCGCGACGCGGAGGCGAACACACCACAGGTTGAGAACTCCTCCCCTGCTCCTCCTCCGCCTCCTCCTCCGCCTCCTCCTCCGCCTCCTCCTCCGCCTCCTCCTCCTCCTCCTCCTCCTCCTCCTCCTCCTCCTCCTCCCCCTCCTCCTCCTCCTCCTCCTCCTCCTCCTCCTCCCCCTCCTCCTCCTCCTCCTCCTGGCGACGCCCCCCACCTCCGTCCCGGACGCTGCCGCAGCATGGAAACAAAACACACACAGACACAATTCATCGTCGACTCCCCAGGAAAAATATGGGAAGATATGGGAGGTGGGGGGGGAAGACAGAGTCCCAGAACATAGGGGAAAACATATGGGGAATCCGGTTATTTGTGTGTGTATTTCTTGGCGTGTCCCAGTTCCCCTTCAGTGCGGGCGACCTCGCTCCACCCGTGAGACGACTGCAGCATCCCAGCGTCGTCGGAGACGAGTGTGTGCGCGGCGCGGCAGCAATCGCCCGCACTCCGCGACGGAGAGCCGCCCTGCCCTCCCTGGGCGCGGTCGCAGCCCTTGAGGCCGTGGGCGGCGGTGAGGGGCGAGCCACGCTTTGACAACGACCTGGCATCGCTCGGACGTGTGCATTTTTTCCTTCGGCGAGGACCATCGAGGAGCATCCTCGATCATTTGGCGAAAAAAACACGCACGAAGCCGAAAAAAACACAGGGCATGGGCGTCCGAGCGATGGCCAGACGACCTGTGCTGCATCCTTCGGGGCTGCTGTGCACGTTCAAGGCGAGTGCGCGCGGCGCCAAGGCGAGAGCCACACGATTTTGAAGACACCCCCTCCCCTCCAGCCCTGAAGTTCTGGACACGTTTAAGACAAGCTTGTTCGGCGCAGGAGCCAGGGCCCCATGGTGAAGACGCCCCCCCTTCCATCCTTGCAGCTCTTGCACATCATCTTAAGCCCCAGGATCCTCAGTGGTGCAGAGGTCTCAGGCGAAACCTTCGGCCCGCCCTGTCTACACGTCTGGAGCTGCGACAGGGAGCAGTCTGTCAAACACGGAAAGGAAAAGGATCGGAAGAGGCGGATGCGGGGGAGGAGGAGGAGGAGGAGGAGGAGTCGGAGCAAGAGGAGCACGAGGACGAGGACAAGGATGAGGAGGGGGAAGAGGCGGAGGAGGAGGATGAGGAGGAGGATGAGGAGGAGGATGAGGAGGAGGATGAGGAGAAGGAGGGGAAGGGAACAGGAGGAGGGAGGAGGAGGAGGAGGAGGAAGGGAAGGAACAGGAGGAGGAGGATGACGAGGAGGAGGGGAAGGAATGTTATGATTATGATGAGGAGGAGGAGGGGAGGAGGAGGGGGGAGGAGGGGGGAGGGAGGGGGAAGAGGAGGAGGGGGCGGGAGTGGGAAGAGGAGGAGTAGGAGGGGAATGTGAAGGAGGAGGAGGAGGAGGAGGAGGAGGAGGAGGAGGGGAGGGAGGGGGAAGAGGAAAGGAGGAGGAGGAGGAGGAGGAGGAGGAGAAAGGGATAAGCAAGAGACATCGAGGACGGGGAAACGGAGGAGGAGGAGGAGGAGGAGGTGGAGGAGGAGGAAGATGAGGAGGAGGAGGAGGACGGAGGAGGGAGGAGGGAGAAGGGAGGATGGAGGAGGAGGAGGAGGAGGAGGACGAGGAGGAGGAGGAGGAGGAGAAAAGAGTCAGGGTGAGGATGATGATGCTGATGATGATGCTGCTGCTGCTGATGATGCTGATGATGATGCTGAGTATGATGATGCGGCTGCCGATGATGAGGATGATGATGATGATGCTGATGATGATGATGATGCTACTGATGATGATGATGCTGATGATGATGCTGATGGTGATGATGATGCTGATGATGCTGATGATGATGATGATGATGATGATGATGATGATGACGATGCGTGTGATCATAATGCTGGTTGCAGTGATTATGATGACGATGCTGCTGCTGCTGATCTGATAATGCTGCGGTGGATGCTGCTGCTGATGTTGGCGTTGTTGGTGATGATGCTGACGATGGTGATGCTGCTGCTGCTGATGATCATGCTGGTTATGATGACGACGCTGCTGATGATGCTGATGGCGATGCTGCTGCTTCTGATGATGATGATGCTGCTGATGATGATGATGATGGTGCTGATGATGAGGTTGATGATACTGATGAGGATGATGATGATGATGATGATGATGATGATGATGATGATGATGAGGATGATGATGATGCTGATGCTGCTGCTGATGCTGGTGTTGATTATGCTGCTGATGATGGTGGTGGTGACAGTGGTGATGGTGATGGCGATAGTGATGACGATGCTGATGATACTGATAGTGGTAATGACGATGGTGATGCTGATGATGGTGATGATGCATATTACCATGATGCTGCTGATTATCATGCTGATGCTGATTATGCTGGTGCTGATTATGCTGATGCTGATAATGATGATGGTGCTGGTGATGCTGTTGATGATGCGGCTGCTCCTGATGCTGCTGACGGTGATGCCCATGATGATGCTGCCGATGCTGATGATGCTGATGAATACGTTGCTGCTACTGATGGTGATGCTGATGCTGCCGATCATGATGATGCTGCTGACTATACTTATGCGGATGATGACGATGGTCCTGCTGATGCTGATGATGATGCTGATGATGTTGATGTTGATGTTAATAATGATGATACTACTGCTGTCGATGATGGTATTGAAGACTATGATGATGATGGTGATGATGATGATGATGAGGATGATGATGATGATGGTGGTGCTGATGATGAGGATGATGATAACGATGATGATTGTGGTTATGATGACAGTGATTATGATGATGCTGAATTCTGATGCGGATTGATTCTGACACCCTCCTCTGTGCGCCTATTTTGGCTCAAGATGAAAAGGAGATATTGTTGTCCATCGGCATATTATCTCATCATGGTAGCGTGAGCTGGCCACTCACTGCTGCCGACCCCACCCAGGCCTCGGCGCGCCGCGGCCGCGGGCGCCACGGCGAGCTGGCAGGAGGCTCGAGACTGGAGCAGGGCGGCATCGACCGCGGCGAGCTCGGCAGCGACCGAGCGACCGGCAGGGGCCGGGAAGAGCGGCCGCAGGCGCGGCAAGAGGAGTGAGGCAGCGATCGAGACCAGGCGCAAGGCCCTCCAGTTCAAGCACGACTTGAGGGAGACTGGCAACAAGCTCCGTGACCTCGCGCACATCGAGGACCACCCTTCGGAGAACTCATCAGACGTCGTCGAGAGAGCGCAGAAGGAAGTCCTAGGCAGGATCACGGACCTCGAGCGTACGAGGCAGGAGATAGCTGAAAGCCGGGAGGAGCTCGCCGAGAGACACGCTGTCAAGCATGGACGAGCAGGTTCGGCAGCAGTTCGAACTGCTGAGGCAGGAGTTTGCGGCTCGAATGAGCCAGACCGCCGACGAGATGAGGAGGCTGGAGAGCGAGAATCAGCGGCTTCAGCAGCAAGTAGCAGGAGGCCTCGCGGCAATTCCGCAGGCGATCGAGCGTATGGGCGAGCAGATCAGAGGCGCGTCGAGCGCGGGCGTAGCCGCTCACGGTCTCGTCGACACGAAGGGGATTGGCAAGCCCACGACGATGGGCGACGATCAAGAGAAGTTCGGCGCTTGGAATCGCAAGATGGAGAACTACGTGATCGGCGTGTACGGAGAGAGTTTCCGTCCCGTTCTTCGGTGGGCTGCAGAAGCCGAACGCCCCGTGACGATCGCGGGGGCTCAGGCGGCGCACGACGGAGTGCCAGAGCTGGAGACCAAGGTCAACCAGCTGTACGCGGCGCTGATCAGCACGACGGCGGACGGGAGCGAGAGCAACGACCTCGTGACGGGCGCTCCCGATGGGAACGGTCTCGAAGCCTGGCGGAAGCTCCACCGCAGGTGGGATCCGACGACAGGTCCGAGGAAGAGGCTGATCCTGAGGTCGATCATCTCGCCTCCGAAGTGCAGCGCGGATGAGCTGGGATCCGCATTAGAGAAGTGGATCCAGCAGATAGGCAGGTACGAACGCCGCCAAGGAGAAGATGGTCTAGCCGAGCTGCCGGAGGATATCAAGATGGCGGCCCTCGAGATGCTCGTGCCTCAGGACATCGAGAACCACCTCGTCCTCAACAAGCATCGGCTCGTAACGTTCCAGGACAGTCTGAACGAGGTGATGACGATCGTGGAGGCTCGGACCGGCGTGAAGATCAAGGAGCCATCGATCCGTGCGCGGGCGCATCATCCGGACGACATGGACGTCGGGTCATTCGGAGCCCCGAAGGGCAAAGGCAAAGGCAAGGGCAAGGACGGCAAGAGCAAAGGGAAAGGCAAGACTCAGGAGCCGAAGGGGAAGAGCAAATCGACGAACGGATCATACTCAGGCTCCCGCACGTCCCCGACGGGTTCGGGCCGTGGTTCAGGGCACACGGCACCTCGAAACACCAGCGGGCGCTTCGACGGCTACTGTCGGAACTGCGAGAGATGGGGCCACAAGGCATCCGACTGCTGGAAGAAAGAGCAGGGATCGAGTTCGAGGGCTGGAACTGGATCCGCAACGGGGGCAAGCGCTGGTGGTAAAGCCGGTAGCCGCGGCGGCAAGGCCGGCGGCAAGGCGGCAGGCAGCCTGGGGGAGGAGCCTGAAGCGGAGGTCGCCGCTCTGGACATGGGCAGCCTGGACTGCCTGGAGCTCGCCAGCGGCAGCGGCCGCGGCGCAGCGGCGGTCGATCTCTCCCCCTTCGCGCAGGACGACTGGATGAAGTTCAACTGGGACAGCGGTGCAGCTATCTCAGCATTCCCTCGGAGCTTCGCGCCGCCGACGGGAATGAAGGGCAACGGCAGCACGTATCGCACGGCCAGTGGTGAGCTCGTCCCGGACGAGGGCAGCTTGCAGCTCAAGGCGGAGGACGAGTACGGAGTGCTACGAGCGCTCAAGGGACGCGTGACGAACGTGCACAAGCCGTTGATCTCGGTGGGGCAGGCAGCAGGAGCTGGACAGTGTTCATTCCTGGGCCGCAATGGCGGCTGGATATTCCACGAGAAGAGCCCAATCGGCAAGCGCGTGGTAGGCATGCTCGAGAAGGAGGCGAAGGCGGCGAAGCACCAGATGCTGCCGGTCTATCGCGAGCAGGGCGTCTACAACTTCTACCTCAAGAAGGGCCAACATGGCTCGGTTGCTCCTCTCGAGGAGGGACTTTCGGCGAAGTCGAAGTCCGAGCTGGTGGAGCTCCTCAGCGGCAAGTCGAAGGAGGAGCTGCTGGAGATCCTCGAGAAGACAGTCCCCAGGAGGCAGCCCTCGGCGTAAGCCCACTGGAGGACTTAATACCACGGCCCCCGGCGGCATCGGCTGCGGGGGCGGCAGCGGCGGGGTCGGGGCCTTCCGACGTGAGACCGCCGGGTTTTCAGCCAGCGGCAGCTGCTGCGGCCGACGCTTTGCCAGCTGCTCCTGATGGACAGCAGGCCGAGGAGGGCGAGGAGGAGGCTCGCCCGAGAGTGCTGAAGGCACCTCATGAGCCCTCTCAGAGGGAGATCGCCGAACACGAGGCGATGGGACACGCGACTTATCGCAGCTGGTGTCGCGTGTGTATTGCGGCAAAGGGCCAAGGCCAGCCGCATCTCCGCGCACCGGAGGACGACGAGACAGCGGTGCCGGTGGTCTCGTCCGACTACGCCTTCATGGGCCAGGACGACGCGGACACCATGCCGATGCTGGTCCTTAGGGATCGGCGCTCGAAGATGATGGCGGCGACATTCGTGGAGAAGAAGGGCGACGACGCCTACGCCATCAAGTTCTTCGCACGCTTCTTGCGGATCCTGGGCTACAGGAAGATCGTCAACAAGTCCGACGGCGAGCCAGCGATCCTGCTGGTCAAGAGGCGTGCGGTGGAGGAGGTTCCTGGCCTCGAGGCCATTCCCCAGGAGTCGGCACCGGCCGATCATCAGGCCAATGGGGAGATTGAGGTCACGGTGCGCGAGATCAAGAAGCAGGTGCGGGCGCTCAAGATGGACCTGGAGTCCAAGCTGGGCGTCAAGGTGGAGGACAAGCACCCGGTGCTAGCGCACCTGCCGGAGCACGCCGCATCGGTAATCAACCGATACCGGCGCGGCCAGGACGGCAAGACCGCTCTTCAGCGGCTCACGGGGCGGCAGTGGAGGAAGCCGGTCCCGCTCTTCGGCGAACGCTTGATGGCGCGGTTCGCCGGGGAGCGCGCGAGGAAGAACGCGCTGGAGGAGCAGATGGTGGAGGCTCGCTACATCGGCCACCACCCGCGCGACGGCTCGATGATGGTCATCACGAGCGACGGCGTGAAGAAGGCGGTCGGCTTTCGCAGCCTGCCGCAGAGCGAGAAGTGGATCACGGCGGGCTGGGATGGCCTGAAGGGCCTGCCGTGGGACGTGGCTCCGCGTGCGGCAAGCGCGCCGCGGGCCATCGTCGGACCTGGAGAGGTCGGTCCGCCACCAATTGTGGTGGTGTCGCCGCAGCCGCAGGCGCCGAGGAGGATGTACGTCCTCAAGGCGGACATCGAGCGGCTGGGCGCAACGCCGGGATGCCCAGGGTGCATCTCGATCGCTCGGCACGGCCGGGTGCTGGCTGGCCACGCGCACAACGCGGTGTGCAGCAAGAGGATCTTCGAAGCGCTGGACGCGGAGGAGGCAGGCCGGGAGAGGACCGGCCAGTATCGAGAGCGGAGGCAGGGCCAAGAGGCCAGAGTCCGACCGGCGGCATCGGCCGCGGCAGGGACCCCTCCGCCGAAGACGGCTCGGAGGATCACCGAGCCGGTGGCAGCGGCGGCAGCGGCATCGGCCGCGCCGGCCGCGACCCGCTCGGCAGCAGCGCCAGCCGTGGCAGCCACGGCGGCGCGCCTGCGAGAGAGCCAGCCGGTAGCACCGGGCTTCGGCGTGGCGGCTCCTTCAGGAGGAGCGAGCTCCAGTTCGGGAGCGGCGCGAGCGGCAGAGGCCGCCGCGGATGTCGACATGACCGCGGCCAGGTCGCGGCTGAAGCGCTTGGCAGAGGTGGCCCCGGATGACGTGCCGGAGGCCCTCGAGCGCGGTGATCCACAGCCGGCAGACGTGCCGGTACCGGTGGACATGGAGGATCTCGCGGCGCAGCCGGCGCCAGCGGAAGGACCTCAGCTGCCAGCTGGAGTGGCAGTCGTGTGGAACGCCAGTGAGGGGAGGCACATGCGGGTGCTCGCCCTCGATGTGGCGTCGATCGAGCTGGTTGAGCTCGGAGTGCTGACGAGAGCGAAGGCGGAGTTGCTCCCGCTCGTTCGCGAACAGGTCAGTGGCCATTGGGCCAGCGCCGGCGTGGACATCGCCGACGAAGAGGTGGACAGCATCGCCCTATCGGCGTTGCAGCTGGGCGCCGTGGACGTGGCCGAGGTGTACTCGCCACATCGGTTCTCGGCTCGGGCAGCGGAGTTTCAGCTGCGCCCGGGCTTCGCGGCGGACCTGGAGGAACTCAAGGAGGACGGGGCGCCGTGGGACTTGCGGCGCCCCGAAGATGTCAAGGAGCTCGAGAAGCAGCAGGAGCGGATGGATCCCATCCTGCTCACGGGGTCCCCTCCATGCGAGAAGTTCAGCTTGCTGAGGGGCCTGAGCGCCAAGTTCAGGACCGATGAGCAGGAGGCGGCTGAGATGGAGGAGGCCAGACACCACCTGAAGGTGGCAGTCGACGCCTACTGGCGTCAGCTCAGGAAGCCAGGCAGGTACTTCTTGCATGAGCATCCCTGGAGCGCGCGATCGTGGAATGAGGACATCGTCAAGGAGCTGGTCGCGCATCCAGGAGTCTTCACGGTCAAAGGCCCCATGTGTCGGTGGGGCATGAAGCTCACGAACCCCCGCAATGGCCAGGAGGAGTTCGTGCGCAAGGAGACCGGATGGGTCACCAACCATCCAGGCTTAGCCCGGAGGCTGCAGGGCACTTGCAGCAATGTGGACGGCCGCGCGGAATGGCATCGCCACATCACGCTCGTGGGCGGCATCGCGCGGTTCGCGAAGGTCTATCCACCGAAGTTGGTGGAGGCGGTGCTGGAGGAGCTCAAGGACACGCTGAATGACGTGGGAGAGCTCAGCACCGCCCAGGTGCAGCAGTCGGGCCCAGTCCCTGTGGACGCGGCAGTGCCGCCCGGGGACTGGACGAGTTACTGGGACGACGTCAATGGCGGCTACCTGGAGGCGGGCCTTGTGGCCCAGGCTCGCGCGGTCGAGCGCGAGTGGGTCAAGAAGCAGGAGCTGATCGAGATCGTCCCGAGGTCTCAGGCTTTCGCCGAGACTGGGCGTCCGCCCATCCCACTCAAGTGGGTCGACACGAACAAGGGTGACGCGGAGAGGCCCAACTACAGGAGCAGGCTCGTCGTGAAGGAGATCAAGGCGAAGAAGCGCCCTGACGAGCAGCTGGAGGCGTCCGAGGTCTTCTCGGCCATGCCTCCTCTGGAGGCCATGCGGTCGCTGGTCTCGCTGATGGTCACGTGGACGCGGGAAGCACCGCTCCACATTCAGGAGTCGCTTCGCAAGAAGGGCAGGAAGCCGGGCAACTTCAAGATCGGCTTCTTCGACATCAGCAGGGCGCACTTCTACGGGAAGGCGCAGCGGAGGATCTTCGTGGAGCTGGAGGAGGAGAGTCGCAAGGAGTACGGCGAGGACAAGTGCGGCCTACTCCTCAAGTCCTGGTACGGCACGCAGGACGCCAGCAAGATCTGGCAGGGCGACTACACGGAGCTGCTGGAGGAAAACGGCTACAAGGCGGGCGTGTCGTGCCCAGCGGTCTTCTACAAGGAGGTGGACGAGACGAGGCTGCTGGGGCACGGCGACGACTTCGCGGTGCTGGCTCAGCAGCAGGACATCGACAGCTTCGAGGCCACGCTGGGCAAGAAGTACGAGTTCAAGAAGACTGCGAACCTAGGCTTCGACGAGGGCGATGACAAGCAGGCGGTCTTCCTGAATCGGGTCATCGAGGTCAGTGCGGGAGTTCCGCCTGGCGGTGGCCGGCCCTGCCGGCATGCGATGATCGAGCCGGACAAGCGGCACGCGGAGATCGTGATCGACGAGTTGGGTCTCAGCAAGGCCAACGGCGTGGACACGCCGACGGAGAAGCGCAGCGCCGACAAGCAGATGATGGATGCGAAGTCGGCGGCGTTGGGAGCAGCGGAAGCTTCGCGCTTCCGATCCCTCACCATGAGGGTGGCCTACCTGTCTCAGGACAGGCTGGACTTGGCTGAGGCATCGAAGACGCTCGCCAGGTCCATGCAGACGCCAACGGAGGCGAGCTGGCTCATGCTCAAGAGGGTTGGCCGCTACCTCAAGCGGCATCCTAGCACGGTGACGGTTTTCACGGAGCAGAAGACGTTCGACAAGATCCGGGTGTACGTGGACTCCGATCATGCAGGCTGTGCAGTCACGCGGAAGAGCACCGGAGGCTTCGTGGCGATGCTGGGGCATCATGTAGTCAAGCACGGCAGTAACCTGCAGTCGACGGTTTCATTGAGCAGCGGGGAGAGCGAGTACTACGCCCTGGTGAAGGGCGGGAGCGTGGGCCTAGGCCTTCACAGCCTCTTCGCGGATTGGGGGCTGGACCTGAAGGTGGAGCTTGCCTCGGATTCATCGGCGGCCCGGGGCCACGTCCAACGGCGAGGTCTCGGGAAGATGCGGCATGTTCAATCACGATACTTGTGGATCCAGGAGCGTGTGGGCAAGGGCGACCTCTCGATCGCTGCAGTTCCTGGCAAGAACAATGTCGCGGACGTGCTGACCAAGAGCGTGGGTGGCTCCCTTTTGAGGAGACACATGGCTACGCTGAACATCTGGGATCGGGCACCGAGTTCGACTCAGAAGGACATCAAGTGATGGAGTGGATCGAATCCATGCTCCGCTACCTGTGGGGCTGGATGATGTTCCGCCGGCAGCGGTATGATCGCGCCGGGCGGAGTGAGGGGCTCGCGGCATGGCCGCAGCCCAGCAGATGAGCTGGGCGCGTCGGCTCGGGCGCGCCCGCGTACGACTTAGGTCGTGCCTGGCCGGTTTGCGGCCAGGCCCGAGGAGGAGTGATTCTGACACCCTCCTCTGTGCGCCTATTTTGGCTCAAGATGAAAAGGAGATATTGTTGTCCATCGGCATATTATCTCATCACGGATGCTGTTGATGATGCTGCTGCAGAGGGTAATGTTGATGATGATGATGAATATGAGTGTGATGATGCTGCTGCTGATGGTGATGATACCGATGATGAGTTGATGACGATGATGATGATGCTGTGATGCTGATGATGCTGATGATGATGAGATGCTGGACATGGTGATGCTTATGATGCTGCTGATGATGATGCTGCTGCTAGCGATGATGATGATGATGATGATGATGATGATGTTGATGATGATGATGATGTTGATTATGATGATGATGATGATGACGATGATGATGATTATGAGGATGATGATGATGATGATGGAGGAGATGAGATGATGCTGATGCTGATGCTGATGCTGGGGGGGGAGGAGGGAGGGGGAGGAGATGAGGAGAGGAGGGAGGAGGAGGAGGAGGAGGAGGGAGGAGGAGGAGGAGGAGGAGGAGGAGGAGGAGGAGGAGGAGGAGGAGGAGGAGGAGGCGGAGGATGACCAGCTCCCTCTCTCCATAGGCCTCTACAAGGATTCAGTTCTGCTGAGGCAGGTGCCCAGTTGGGAGACAACCGTTTGAAGATACTGAAGCGCACCAAAACACCACTTCTGGGAGTCCAACGCCACGAATCAATCTGAATTTCGTGTCTCGACGAACCTGAACCGTGTCAGAACACCGTTCCTAGGATTTCAACACCGCGAATCAACGTAATTGTGGCGCCTTGACAATCCTTCATCGCTCCCTAACACCACTTCTGGTACGTTAACCATGCGAACCCGTGAAGGCCTTGCACTTTCCCAGAAGGAATGTGCGCGGCGTTGATCGGGGGCGGAAAAGAGGGGGGTGATGACTAGGGGGGGTGGATATCATGGCGGGGAGCATGATCTTTCCCCAGACGTCATGGCGCCTCTTCTTATTGGATTTCGTCCCTGGCTCCCAGCCTGGGCCGCGCACATGCCGCCGGCCATGATGTGCACCCCCCCCGCTTGGACACCCCCCTCCTGGCCGCTCCCGAGCTAAGGCGGGAGCCACATCTTGAAACAGAGCCGCCCTCGATCCGCGAAGCTCCTGCAGATGGCCAGGACGAGCGTGCGCGGCGCTCCGGCCAGGGCCGCGCTTTGAACGCGGCCCGCTTTCCATCCGCAGGACTCTTAGAATTCTCATACGACGAATGTGCGCGGCGCAGAGGCGAGAGCCACATTTTGAGAACGTCCCGCTCTCCATACGCGAGGGTCTGGCGCCACGTTTGACGCGCAGGCGCGCGGCGCGAAGGCGAGAGCCACATTTTTTGAAGACGATCCGCCTCAACCCCGTGAAGCTCTTGCACATGTTTGAGACGAGTGTGCGCGGCGCTCAGGCGGGAGCCACAATCTGAAAGCGACTCGCCCTCGATCCGTGACGCTCTTTGCAGATGCCTGAGGTTCGGTGTGATGAATGGTGCGGAAGTCTCATGCGAAACGCCCGGCTGGCCTTTCGTTACCGGCCGCGGGGAGGAGGAGGAGGAGGAGGAGGAGGAGGAGGAGGATGAGGAATATGGAGGAGATGTAAGGAGGAGAGTGAAGGAGGAGGAGATGGAGGAGGATGAGGAGGAGGAGGAGGATTTGATGAGGAGGAGGAGGAGGAGGAGGAGGAGGACCAGTGTGAATCCAAGGCGCACCAACGATGTTGCATTGAACCCTCCCTCCGCGAATTTGTTTTCACTGTGGGGAGAGGCCCATTGGACGGCAACTGTTCGAGCATCCAGAAGCGAGCCGACACACAGTTCGAGGACTTCAGCGCCGCGAATCAGCGTGATTGTTGCGTCTCGACAGTCCTCAATCATGTAACAACAGTTCTTGGGACTTCAACGCCGCGGATGAACGCGACTGCTGCGTCACGTCATTTCGAAATAGTGTCATTCCTGACCTCCTGGGACTTCAATGTCAACCATGTGGATGATTGAAGCTGCTGCAAACTTTGAACACGAACGTGCGCGGCGCTCAGGCGAGAGCCACCGATTGAACATATGGCCTTCCATCAGTGGAGCTGGTGGACATTTGTCCATAAAAAAGTATGCGCTGCGCTTAGGCGAGATACACATGTTGAAAACCACCAGCCTCTATCCGTGAAGCTGCTGCAAACTTCTACTACGATCAATGCGCGCGGCGCTACGACGAGGGCCACATTTTGAAAACGGTCCGCCTTCTATCCTTGCGTCGCGTCGCGGGGGTCTCGTCCGCGCCGCGGGCGATGCTGCAGCCGATTCCCCGTCGCGCGGGCTGCCTCGCCTTGCGCGCAAATGCGCGACGCCGAGCGTCTTGCAAGTCTTTTTGCGCGCGGCGCCGCGCGGCCATCGGGAGTCGCGCGATGCGCGGCGGCAAGGGCGCGCCGCCTTGCGTCGCCACGCGAGCGCGCGCGCGGCGCAGGCCTGTCATTCCGGCCAGGCGCGGCGCACTGCGCGGAAGCGCGCGGTCATCGGAGCCGCGCAATTCGGGGGGGGGCAAGGGCGCGCCGCCTCGCGTCGCGGCGCGAGCGCGCGGCGCAGGCTCGCCAGGCCATCCTTTCGGCGACGGCGCGGCTCGCACCGAGCGCGCCTCGCGGCCTGCGCGCCCGCCGCGCCGTCGCCGGCTTTTCCCCCGCCCACCCTGCCCGTGGGGGTTGGCGCCCGGGCGGCGCCGTCGCGCCCGCGCTGCGAAAGGGCGGCGGCCCACTCGGCGGGGCCCCGCGCCCGTGCGCGCGCCGAGGGTGGCGCCCGTGCGCGCCCCTCGCTGCGGGCGCCGCTGCCCGCCGGCGGGCGCCTGGGCGCTGCAAGTGGCGAGGAGGTCTCTGGCGAGACGCCCGGCCCGCCCTGCCGACGCGTCTGGGGGCGCGGCAGGGAGGAGTGATGTGCAAGGAGAAGGCATGGGGGGAGGAGGAGGAGGAGGAGAAGCAGAGGGAAGGGAGGATGAGGGAACGGAGGAGGAGGAGGAGAGGATGAGGAGGAGGAGGGGAGAGAGAGAAGCAGGGGAGGAGGAGGAGAGGGAGGAACAGGGAGGGGAGAGGAGGGAGGAGGGTCCCTTCCCTGTTCGCTTGAAGCACTGCTTGCTACAGCTACGTACTTTGATCCGCCCCCCCCCACCCCACCCCACCCAAATAGCGAACTCCAGCTGTGTGGCGGGGGGGTATGGCAGCGTGCGTCACCGAACCCCGATGTCATCAGAGTCCACAGTCGAGGAGGAGGAGGAGGAGGAGGGGAGGAGGAGGAGGAGGAGGGGGAGGAGGGGGAGGAGGGGGAGGAGGAAGGAGGCACTAGGAAGGAGGAACCAGGACGATGTCAGAAGGAAACAGGAAGGAGGATAAGGAGGACAAGAAGGAGGGGGAGGAGGGGGGATGAGACGGGGGAGGAGAGGGGAGGAGGAGGACCAGATCACACCCAAGATGCGCCAGGACGCGGTCCTTGGCCGCTTCGAGAGGGAGGTGAAGACCTTCGAGGCCGCGCCCGGGAGGGGCTGCCCCGCGGGCCCGCGCGGCCACCGCCGCCGACCCTCCGCGTCCTCCCGTCGGGGGGGCGGCATGGGTACGGAAGCAGCGGGCGCGAAGACCGACCACAGACCTTGTGCATTTGGGCCCAGGAGGCGGGGGTCAATGCAGGCGGATCTTGCAGGATCCTGCGGAGCCAGGGGTGCATTGACCCGGGCCTGCGTGCAGGATCTTGCAAAGCCCGACTGGCCCGGTTGTGGATTGATCCGGGTCAGCAAAATTTTGACTCCATTTTGAACCGGATGCGCGGTCGGCTTCGCCGCGGGCGGTGTCCGCCTAAGGTCAAGAGGTTGTTTGCCCAGCAGCGACCGTTGTTATTTTCGGACAGCCCGCGCTGTTGGTTGGGCATTGTACCCGGTCTCTTCTTGTATCCATTTCTGGCTTGGCAACTCCCCGCCCCACTCCTCGTGTTCTCCTCTGCCGCCTCGGACACAAACCACTACCTTGGAATCGGGCACGTCCCTCCCGAGGAGGAATGTTCAATAGTAGTTAGGAGATCGTTTGGGGACGAGTCCCCGCGACCATGTTGAATCAGTTTAAGATCATGTTTTGATGCTGCAACAAGAAAAAAGTATGTCATACAATCTCCGCGTGCAGGAGGAGCTGCCCGACCTACCGCTGCATCTTCCTCGCCGCTGTGGTGGGCCGCGCCACGGCGCCCCAGGTGCGCGCCCCGTTTGCGCGCCCCCAGGCCCAACGTTTGCCACCGAGGATAGAAGAAACCCTAGTCCGAATAACACGGTGACGGCGCAGCCACATTGAGGCCCTCGTCCTCGCATTAGAGATCATAGTTCTGGGCGGTTTGGTTCGATACGCCTGCAGAAAAGACCCCCTGTCCCTAATGTTCCTGGCCCTCCTAACTTGGATCCCCTCCCAAAGGGTTTGGGTTCCTGTTTGGGTCAATCAGTTTGCCCCTGCTCGACACCATGCTGAACGAGACCACGCAGCGTGCATGCGCACTGGCGCGGGCCTTCGCCCCAGCTGCCGTCAGGGACCGCTCTGGCGGACGTGGCGGGCCTAAGCCGCGCAACCTGCGTGTGGGTGTGTAGCGCTTGGGCGGGGAAACAGATGAAGGCCAGGGAGGGAAGCAAAGAAAAACATGGGCACTGGGATCCACGCAGCCTGCGTGCACACTCTGCTGAGCAGCACGAGCGGCGCGGCGTCTTGGAGGGCGCCCGCGTTTGGCAGGGGACCGCCAGGTCGGGGGTCGTCGGTTGGGAATGCCGCAGCGACGA